GGTTGGTTTTTTGAGCTATGTAGTTGAGACTGACCTGGAACTCACTATGTAGCCCAGGCTGGTCTCAAACTCACAGCGATCCTCCTGCCTCAGCTTCCCCAGTGCTGGGATTACAGGCATGTGCCACCACGCCCGGCCGTTTATGAGAATTTTTAATTGGGGAGGTGCCTCAGAAGTGTCTGTATGCTTTCATTGGTTAGAGAAACTAAGGAAGAAACAACCAGGGAAGTCTAGAACTGTTTGGAGATTACTTCCGTGGTTTTGATCAGAACATTGGTGGGAAGGTGGATGGCAGAGGCCGTTCTGAGAGGAACAAAGGGTAAAGTCCGCCTTTGTCACATCGCAGCAACAAACCTGAACTAACTGTGTTCGTGGGAGGCAGAATTTAAGAGTGATGAACTGGGATATCTGGTGGAAGAAATATTTCAAGCATTACTTCCCAGCTACTTCCAATTGCTCACAGAGAGATGCTAAAGGGAGAAATGACTTAAAGGTGGCACATAAAGGTAAGCGGAGGAGAGAATTAGAAATCTGGCAGCTTAGTCACGTGGGAAGAGTGGAAAGTGTGTTGGGGAGAGCAGACCAGCAACGTGGCCCAGAGGCTCTTGGCTGAAGAGGTCTGTCTGGGTAGAATGAAGCCAGAGGATGTTCCTCCAGGCAGGGGGAGAAAGACCCACTGGGGTCTCAGAGGTCTTCCGGGCTGCTCCTCCGTCACAGGCCCAGGCAGGCAGAGTGGTTTGGGGGAGCCCAGCCTGGGACACCTCTGTGGCCTTGCTTCCCAGAGCTGCCCGAGCTCTCTGGTCTGGCCCAGTGCCCCTCACCCACCCTGGGGTGGCTTGGGCAGCCCCACCTGCTGCTCCACCTGCCACTCTGGAAGGTGGAAACTGTGAGCGTTGTGGCGCCCGTTGCTCAGGTTCGTGGGAAGCAGGGGCTGTGGGGGGCAAGGCGGCCTGCTGCACCTCGATTTCAGTGTCACCAGACACAAAGCGGCCTGACGGGGTTCCCTGAAGTGGAGGCGGTGACTGCAGCTCCCTTGGCCCTGACACGGAATAGGTCTGTTGACTCTCATCACAGAAAAACATTTCAGAAACATCAGCGAGAGGCCTAGGCAGATTTAGGGAGCAGAATCAAAGAAGTATGCAGAAATGCGGGTGCTCGAGGATGAGGTATGCTACAGTCTGGGGCTAGGGATGTATATGTGTTCTTACGGGAGGTATCCTTTAACATGGATGACCTAAGATGTTTGTTCAACATTCCTTGATTTTTTTTGTTTTTGAGACAGAGTCTCACTGTGTAGCTCATGCTGACTTTGAACTCACTATGTAGTTCACCGGGTTGGCCTCAAACTCACAGTGACCCTCCTGCCTCAGCCTCCTGAGTGTTGTGATTACAGGCACGGGCCACCATGCCCAGCATCATTCTTTGAATTTTTGACTCTGTTTCTTCATCTTAAGGCCACATCTCTGCCCTTTACTTTATCAACTGGGTTGCTTCATGGACTTGCAGTATCTTTAAGGGCTTTGTGTGTGTTTGGCCTGGAAGGAAAAACCAGCCCACCAAGAGAGTACAAACAAGCCTGGGGAGTAAGGATACAGAGGAGAGATATGGGTAACCTTGATCATGCCTTGGAACTCTTGTTTCCTTGTCTCCTTTCTGCCTATCTTTAGTTCTCTCCCTGTGGGTCCAGGGAGAAATTGTCATTAGAGCAGGTGGGACAGGGCACCCTCCCTAGGGCGATAGGTAAACTGTGGAGTTGAAGCTGCCCCTGAGTTTTACTGGGGCGATGCCTACAGGACTGTGGGAGGGGGACCAACTGGGACTCCAGAGTGGCAGAGCTACCAGCACACTATGCCAGCCCAGAAAGGACAGCCGAGCATACGCTGAGTCCAGCAGAGCCATAAGCTTGGGGCATTGTCGCCATGGGTCGGCACAAGATTGAAGACCATCCTGGAGTCTTAAGTCTTAATGTCGTTTGCCCCGTTGGGCTTTGGCCTCACATAGGACCCGCAGCCCCTCTCTTCTTTCCCGGTGCTCCCTTTCTGAGTGGGGATGCCTGTCCTGCTGTCGTATTCCACGGGTAGATAAATTGTTTCATGTCACCAGCTCACAGAGCGAAGATCACCCGTATCTGATTTAGATGAGGCTTTGAACTCTGGAGTTGATACTGGAACTTGTTAAGTCTTGGTCCATTGGGATGAACCAAGTTAGAAAAATGTTTTTATTGTATTTTTTATAGTCCAGAATTTCTATTGTCAAAATAACTTGTAACTCTAATATTCTCTCATTGAAGGATGAATGTCATCCCGTGTTCCTTTAATTCTACACCGTGGTTTCCTGTGGTTCTTTGAACATATTCACAATTTCTGCCTTGAAGATTTTGCCTCCTACGCCATCTACACTCCCCAGAGACAGTTTCTGTTGATCTTTGTCTTGTGAAAGGCCACACTTTTTCGGTTTCTTTGCATATATCATAGAGTTTTGTAAAACCCTGGGAATTTTAGGTAATATAACTTCCCTTGATTTTGTTTTTTGAGACTAGTTCTCACTAGGTAGTTGAGACTGATCTGGAACTCACTATGCAGCCCAGTCTGGTATGGAACTCACAGCGATCCTCCTGCCTCAGCCTCCTGAGTGCTGGGATTACAGGCATGCGCCACCACGCCCGGCTACTACCATTGATTTTGATTCATCCCCTCCCACCCACCATTGCTTATATCTGGTCATTTGCTTGGGCCAATTATGTGGCCTCCATTACCCTACAGTATGTGACTGCTAGGATTTCAACTCAGTTGCTCCTTTTAAATTCATGTTTTTCTGTGAAAAACTGACTTCCGGGAGCCACCTTTGGTTCAGCATAGCTTAGTGGTGAGGCAACGATCGGTCAGAGGTTGTGTTTAAATGCCTTGGGTCAGTAAAGCTTCTGCCATCTGCTGGTGAATCTGTGTGTGACTTTGAAGATTAGATGAAGTGAGATTATGCACCAAATTTTGCTTTTTGTGCACACAGGGCCCAACACTCAGCCGGGAACAAGTAGATAGCTAGAGACCTCTCTGTTCCCGAGCAGACCTGCATTCGTGCACGGACTTCTAGCTCTTCCCAGATACGTGGCAGCTCATCAAGTCCAGCTGGGGTGACTTTGTTCCCCAGATCTCCTTGTTAAAACCCAGTTAGGATGCCCCCAACCAGCCTCACAATTGCTGTGATTCAGCCCTGACTTAAAGTTTGCCTCTGGAGATTGCCGTTGCTTTTGAAAATGCCCTTGGACGTGTGCTTTTCATACTGAGCTTCAAATCAAGTTGAGACAGAGAAGTGCCGGACTCTCTCATTTTTCCCTGCCCTGGCTGGAGAGGGTGTGACATGACCGGTAGTCAGCCTGTCCCTCTCCCTTGCTGCCCTTTGTTCCCCCTTGCACCCTAAAAGAACCCTAGGCTGATTGGCAGCAAAGTCATCCCTGCAGGCGAGGCTGCCAGTCCTCAACTTGGATTTCCTGTCCATTCTGTAGAACTTCTGCTCCAGGAGCAGGGTGGATGGGAATAGCCCCAGACTAAGATGACACAAACTCCTATTTTTTTTTCTTATTCATTTTCAGTACTTTTTCTTGAAAAGGCACTTGTGAAACTCACATGTACCAGTGGTCAATTTCCAGAGCCACGAAAACTTTTCTTCAATTTTATCTTTATTTTCTTGGGGGAAGAATATCAATCTCTTTCAGCCACTTTGGAAATCTGGCATACGATCTTTACCTTTAAAAAAAAAGCTTCCTTTATACTTAATATATACTTTCTGGCTTGAATCTCACAACAGAACTATGGGATAGAAATTATTGTCATTTTCATTTGATAGATGAGAAGACAGAGCCGTATAAGTTAAAACCTTTTCCTAGGGTCACCGCAGTTCGTAAGAAACTGAATTTGGCCTGGGTTCTAAAGATTCTTGATGAAGTGTTAAAAGGACACCAGTGGAGTTTAGTGCCTGGAAGGTTCTTGTGTGAGGGGATAAATGCACTGCTTAGATGGACACTGAAGAAAAGGAAGATGCAAAAAGTTGTGTTGAGTTTGTGTCTCTCTCAAAGCCCTGGATCATGAAATATGAGAAATAGTTGGAGAAAAAGAAGAATATAATTCTGTTTATTCAGATGGCCATGGAGACATAAATAAAGTCTTCCCAGAAACCAGATTAGAGTCCCCATTGGTCTGCTTCTAACGCAGAATTTATAAAATGAGTCTGGGAGAAAGCTCTGGCCTTTATATTATGAACTCTGAAATGTTAACAATAAAAGCGTTTATACAGTTCTGGGAAAGCAACGGAGAGACCTGTTAACCAAGAGTACTTTACCCACACCCCACTCACAGGGCTGAGACTACCCCAGCCCCGACAGTCTCAGCACACTGGTGTGTCCGTCACCACGGCCCCGCGTGCTTGTACCGCAGTGGTTCCACACCAGGAGAGGCAAGCCAAGAAGTCCAGGAGCCGCCACCCCTGCCAGCACCATGTTTATAAAGCCAATGCTGCGCTCTGAGGGGAGCAGTGGCTCGGAGCTTTGACCAAAGAGGAAAAGCAGGCCCCAAGAAGAGTGAGCTACAACATTCTCACTGCAGGCGCTGACTTTGGATTCAGAATGTGTGGGATTCAAGACTAAGGGCTCTCGTGAAAACAATGGAGATTTTGGTGGCCAGCATTAGGAGCAGGCAGAGTATTATGGAAAGAGAGGCCTTGGGATGGGCGCAGTCTTGCACACCTGTAATCTCAGCACTGAGGCATTTGTATAAAAGCGCTCCATGTGCATACATTTTCATTTCTCTCCTTTAAAAGATGTTTTGAACAAATATTAAATACCTACTTACTGCCTGGCTCTGAGCTAGGCACTCTCACTGAATTGCTGTCCTCACAGCACCGGCCTCTGCTCAGAATTTCACACCAAGGAAAGGAACTCTGTCGCCCCTGAACTTGCGGGGATGAATGGAGTGTGGCGGGTGAAAGTGTCTCCCGTACCTGTAGAAGCCCCCACCAGAAAGTGTTTTCTTTGGACAGGTCTCCACTACAGGCTTATTTTAAAGCATCTCCATGTTGACTGAAAGAAGTTGTTTCCTCCACATCCCCACAGACTGGACTTGGTGGACAATTGCATACTGAGTGCTATTCAACAAAGGAGCAAAACAGCTTGTCACTAAGGATGGTGACATTTGGACTAAAAGAGCCTTGTTTATTTTTCTGATTCATGAGTTTGCAACAGCCCAGGAATATGTTAAGAAAGATATTTAAAAAAAGAAAAGAAAAAGAAAGATAAAAACATCTGCGCCCTGACCGTGTAAACATTTAAGGTAGTCCTGGATTCCAGAGTCAGAATCTTGTACTTCTCCACAGCCCCAAAGGCCAGAACAGCGACGGGAGATTTCTGCCCGGAGAGGAGTGAGTGTGGAAACACGACACATCGCGCCTGCTGTCTCAGAAGTCAGCGGACGGCGTCCTAGTCCTGCGGTTCTCACGGCCCGGGGCTGCGCCGCCCTCCCTAGGCGTCTTCGGAGCCCAGCTCGGCCAGGCCTTGGCTGATTTCCTGGAGGTCGTCGATCTTTTTGTCCAGCCCATCCAGGAAGCGCTTCAGGTCCGACTTGAGGTGGCGCTGTCGGTTCTTACTCCTGGAAAGGTCCGCCTTCAGAGACCGCACTTTGCCTTCCAAGCTTTGATTGTCTCTCTCTGCCGCCTCCAGCTTCTCAGAGACACATTCACACTCCGACTTGAGCTGAGGTAGGACTTCAGTTTGTTTGCGGAGATCCTTCACCTCGGTCTCCTTTGCCCGGAGTTCTGACTCCAGCTCCGCAATTCTCCGCTTCAGCTGGGTGGCGCCCTCCAGCCCGCGGCCGGTTTGGCGGCACAGCGTCTCCAGCTCCTCGACCTGGTGGCGCAGCCGCTCGTTCTCCTCCCTGCAGGCGCAGACCTGCTTCTTCCACTGCTCCACGCTGGCCGCCGAGTCCTGCAGCGCCGTGCTCAGCTGGGCGTTGCTGTCCCGCAGGATCCGCAGCTCCAGCTCCCACTTCCCCACCTGCGCGGCGCTCGGGGTCCCGGCAGCCTGCGGCTTGCGGTCCTCGGGAGGGCCCTTTCCCTCGCCCGTCCCCTCGACTCTGGGTCCTTGGGAATGATTGTCCGAGGGCTCCGTTTTCTCCTGGGACTTTTCTCTGGCTAGTTTGGCAGTTTCTTTTGCCTCCTGGAATTTCTCTGCGAACTTGGTCAGCTGCTGATCAGAGGAGAAGCCCAGCCCGAACATCGTGTTGGCTCTGCCGTCGGCCCACTGCCCAAACCTCCGCGACGTTTTGGTGAAGGTCATGTTCGGCGTGATAGTGCTGTGTATGATCACCCTGTCCCCGTCCACACTGATGATCCGATAGGTGTTCCTTGTGACATCGTAGAAGTAAGACACAGAGACCGCCTGTTGGCTCAAGGGCACCCAGATCGCCTTGGTCCTGGAGTCAGTCTGGAAGACGTGCGCTCGGATCGTGAAGATTGGCGGTTCTCCCATCTCGGGGCTGCGGGGAGGTGTGTGGGGGGTGTGGGTGTTGCCGCTTCTACCGGCCTCGGCCCTAGCTCTCCGCCTGTTCTGCAGCGGCTCCCTGCGGTGACCCTTGCAGTAGCGGAGCGCATTGGGCTTAGCCGGGAGCCAGGATGCCTCTGCTGCCTGCCACAGGGCTGCAAGGCTGCGGCTCCAAGGGGGCAGCTGACTGGGCTGGGCCTCTGGGTGGGGGTGGGGCCCACTCCCGCCCCTCCCTCTCTCCCCTCCCCCATGCCTTTTTCTTAATTTCTCCCGTAAAATTACTGAGGAGTTGTATAGCTGGACAACGTGGTAAATGGCATGTTGTGTTGTTTCGTTTTAATCAAACTGTTTCCAAAAGTGATTTCAACATCTTATATCCCAAGAAGAATATATGAGTTCCAGTTTCTCCACATCCCCGCCAATACCTGTGTACAGAAAACTACAGACTGGTGCTGAAACGAAGTGAAGGACACGTCAATAGGTGGATGCAAGGCACAGTGTTGTTAAGATGTCAGCTCTCCTCAAATTGCCTACAGATTCAACAGGATCCCGATCAGAATCCCAGCAGAATTCGTGTAGCACTGGACAAGAAGATGCTAAAACCGATTTGAAATACAAAGGACCTAGAATAGCAAAAACAGCTTTGCAAAAACAAGAATAAAGTCAGAGCCCTAATCAGCAACTGATGTTTAAAGTTCATCCCAAAGCCATAAATTCACAGTAACGTGGTATTGGTGTGAAATCAGACAGACGATTTCATTTCACCAGTTCTGGACAAAGACCACGGAGTGTGCTCAGTCCAAAAAAACTTACTAGCAAACCTTTAGATTCTAATTTAGCAAAACGTCTGTATTTTCAAGTACACTCTTCACAGTGACCAAGATTATCTTTTTGAGCCTTTTCCCCCCTCAACTGTGGATCGTTGCCATTTTTGTTTTATTGGCAGTTATTTGAGATCTGTAATACAAAAATGAACAAGTATTGGTGCCTCATGTTAAAAATTTTAAGAAAACAGCCATTCATATTCATTACTGTATTTTGTGAGTGTGTGAGCATCTAATTGAAAATAAGGAATAATCTCCATCCATAAAAGAGTCTAAGAGCCAGCAGGTTACAATCAGTATTTCAGTTTCTAAGTGTGACTCTCTCCTCGACCTGCCCTTCCTTCCTTTTTTTTTTTTTTTTTTTTTTTTTTT